ATTCAACTGTTCTTTTTCCTGACAAAATTCTAGGGAAGAGCATTGGCATTTGTCTGTGATTGGACATAGCTTACCATTAATAGTAAAGAAATCACTCTACCATGGTTTATTTGGCTTAGTGTATTTCTTGCAGAAATGTTTAATGATGATAAATCTTGTAATACTTGAACTCTGAAATGGCAATGAAAGTAGAAGAAGGGTGAATGGTGAGAAATATTTCAGAGATTTGGAAACAGTGTCCTCATCTGTATAACTGCAATTGTCATGTCTATGTGAAGGCATAATTTGGAAGTAAAGTCAGATTTATTCTTGAGACAGTCCTGTCTTTCAAAATTAATATTATGAGGCCACAGAGTGCAGGTGGATTTGTCTCAAATCACTGCTAGTGATATAGACAATATCTGCAACAGAACCTGTAGTGTCGTTTGTCTGCTTGTTTTTTATGTAGTTCTTTAGCTAAATATCATTACTTGGTTATTGAATAATACAAAAAAATAAAAATTTCTCTTCAAAGCTGATATCAATTAATATTGGAAGCATAAAGTATGTTTTGCCATAGTCTAAAACTATCCTGAACTAGCTCCAATTCCTACATTTCCATATATGGTTGTGTTTAGATTGCACAAAACATCAAAGTGGTTCTAAAAGAATTAAACAACTTGGCAGGTTGGAATAAATTCTAGAATACAGATTAATTTAACTGAGCAATTTTGTCACTGCTTAAATAGGCAATTTATTGACATGTTTATTTCATTTTTATAGTCTGAACATTACTTTTTGCTGGTTATAGACTTTTCTGTAGAACAGAGATTTTTTTAGTCTAGAAGGAATAAATGCTCATATGCTTGAGTTAATTTATTCTTTGGAGTGTGACTATTAAATAAGAAGAAATAATACCAAAATATTTGTAACAATCTTTGAAATTTGTTGCCATGAAAAGGTGATATTGAGTCTTGCTTTAGTTTAAATATGCCCTTTCCCTACTGAGAAATACCATCTCCACCTGGAGGCGCAGTATAGTTCTGTCCATGTATTACTGTGGCAATTACTATTAGAAGAGAAGTAATGTATGTTACTGTCTTGCATAGCACTAATGGGTCTTCCAGATAATTTTGTGTTCTTACTGTTAAATTGCACTATAAAACACTACAACCATACTCTATGGAAGAAGTTGGGGTGGGGACTATATATGTTATTCAGGGCCCATATGAAAGATTAAGGCTAATAACATAATTTACTTAGGAATGTTTCTATGTTAATGAAATATTACTTTTCGGTAGGAAAGGAAAGAATGATCAATAAATAATGATATGAACATTGTTATATCATATCATCCCTTTTTGAATGGGAGCTGAGCAACTGCTTTGTATGCATTCATTCAATCATTCAAATTCATATACAAAACATAAAAATCAATAAATTTGACATTCAATTTTAAGTTAAAAAACATATCAATTTGAGATAAATATATAACAAGCTAGGATTTAGTTTCACTCCATTTATTCTTTATGCTGCCAAAAATTTAGTTATAAATAGACTAAAAAAATACAAACTACTTATTAAACTGTTTGCCTAGTACATAAAATTAAATGACATTACCATATTATACTTTTGCACATCTTATCCTTAAGAATTAATGTTTTTTTTAAATTTTGAAATCTATTGTAAATTATTTATGAAAATCATTAACTTAAATGACATTACCATATTATACTTTTGCACATCTTATCCTTAAGAATTAATGTTTTTTTTTAAATTTTGAAATCTATTGTAAATTATTTATGAAAATCATTAACACACAGTGTAAATATAAGCAATAAGCAAAGTGTTTGAATGTAAACCTCACAGAAAATAATTGAAAATATCTTTAAAAATTAGGTGTTTCCATTTTACAAATTCCTTTGATTTTCTTTGTTTTGTTTTTTGTTTCTGTTCATAATTGTTACAGAAATAAATGTACTCTTTTATATAAGTCAGCATCAGGATATCTTCTTAAGGCATATTAATTTCAAAATATATTATTATAGAAAATGAGTCTCTTTACACAATTTTATTGATGATTTATTTGCTTTGAATGTGGCATTTTATCCAATCTAAGACATAGAATACAGAGGTAAAGAACAGGTTCTACATCGCTATGACTTAGCCAATTCACAGTTCCTGAAGGCACATGAAGTTCTATGAATATATATGTGTGAATGACAGTATGCATATCCTTAATCCACAAGTATTTATCCTTCTATCCATTTAATAAATAGATAACTATTTAAAAACTGATCACATGCTAGTGACAGAGAAAGAGAAAAAAAGTTAAAACCACCAGTCCTTAACGACTTTATTTAAACACACATTCACTGAGTACCTTCTAGATGACAGTTAGTACACATATCTTTTTAAAATTTAACCTTAGTAAAATGCTGTTAGGTAAGCAGTACTAGCCAAAATTAAAATGGAGGATACAGAGGATTGAAAAAGTTAAATTACTTGACAAACTGAAAAATCTCAGTCATAATGCCAATCCTAATTTTCATGAACTCAAGCTTACTAATCTTTTAGCAGTATTATAGGCACAAGAAGAGAAGCCTCATTTAAACAAATAAAGGCAATGTTGAAATTAAAATAAATCAAAACGGAGTTAAAAAGAAAGGGTTAATGGTACATAGGAACAGGCACTGAATGAACAGATGTAGTTTAGGTATGTGGGGCAAGGGTGAAAAATGGGCATATCAGCAAGACCAAAGACACATGTAAGGAACATGGACATGACTTAGAAATCCACTTTTAAGTGGCTGGAAGCATTTCACCCACAATGGATTGCAGCGGTAGCATGAAGATAAAGAGAAAAGATTACGTAACAGAAGAGGCTTAATTTAGAAATGCTGCTACTCATATTAACAGTTTGTAAATGATTGTGTGTGTGTGTGTGTGT